TATATATGTATGTACATAATTGTATGTGTTAGATGTGACATAAGTGCCAAATAAATTACAACAAAAATAACAATATTAGAAAAGTTTGCAGCATCTACATTCTTTATTATTTACAAGCAGTTTAGTAAAATAAATAAATAAATATATATATTTTAGTCTACAGGTATAATCAGTCTAACTGCAATAGAATTAAACCCAGAGCGACATTTTACAGTGAATCATACCTAGAAAACTGTAGACAGATGGTTTGTTGACATGACTAGCTCCAGTCATTACTACTGAGTTCGGTACATTTTTTAAAACACTGCAGTACCGACGTGTAATTGTTCCTCTTTGGCTCCTTCTCTTCCCTTCCTTGCGGTTCATTGAAGGGTTTATCTGGAGAGCGGCGACATCCACAGTCCTCCTCAGCCCACCGTCCGCCCACAGAGGACCGAAGTGTGCAACTTTGACAAGATCAAGGGCAAAGCTGAGGGAGCGGTGGGCATCCTGACCTACGACCTCTTCGAGCGGCACAGCAACGGCGCTCAGGAGATACTGGCCATAATGTTCTCCGTGCCCCACAACTACAACGTGTACAAGAACTGGTTGGCTATGGGCGTCTACCCCAAGGGCACCGAGTGCGATGAGAAGCTGTACAAGCAGATGTATAACGACGAAAGTAATGGAACCAATTTTGTGCGGCGGGAGTCCGATGGCAGCGATCTCACCTTTGAGGGAGTCAACGTGGACGTCAAGGCCACCATGTCTCCCCTGGGCAAGAGCATGATGAAGGTGGAGGTGTGGGAAAAGCTCTTCAGTCCCGGGTTGCGTCAGCAGTACTGAGCTGTTGGTCAATCCAGATAACCCTGCTTCACACACTGGTGTGTAGTAAACCTGCTACTGTATCACCTGTTCATGCAATAAATCTGATACGACGCAACACGAGTGTTTGTGATCATTACGGTCGAGCTTAACTGGCGGAGCAGGTTAGCATTGAGTCATTTCTGTGGTCCAGTAATTAGCTCTTGACCTGAGGAAGATGTCAGCGGTGGAAAGTAATAAAGTATGTTTACTCAGCACCACATATTCATCATCTGAAAGCACAAAGGCAGAGTACACTGTTAAAAGACACCAAAAACACTGCACCGGTAATTTAGTGATGGGAGTGGACGCACCTAAACTGGTTCTGATCTTTTCTGACATCTGTCTGAGCCGTAGAAGTCATTCATCCTTCTGCTTTGTTGAAGACAACGACTTAGTAGTGAACCTGTGCAAAAATCAGGTTTACTGCTCCTTTGTGCGTCTGATGTCATGACAATAAGTTTTTCTCTTCAAACTTTTCAACCAATATTTCCTTTGAGCAGGATCACAGAATAAAGAAAAGAACACTAAGTTTAATGACAACTTCCTGTTTTACACCGTATGTTTGGCTGAAGCAAAAACCTAAAAGTTGAATGTCAAGTTGACTTTCTTTAAAATAAAGTTGAGAGAAATCAAATGACTTAACATGAACCAATAGCATCAACAGAACGTCATTTGGGTAACGTAATGCAGTTGTATGCTACCGAACAAAGCGCTTCATTTAAGTTGAACTCTTTCTCAGTGGATTGTTGTTGAATCTAAGCCAAGAAACAAAACACTTCCGAGCTTTTAATCATTTTTTATGTGAAAACTGGAGTTTGGATGTTTAGAGCTTTGGCTATTTTGGCCTTTAGATGTTCAGGAGTTGCTGGAACGGTCACCAAAGACCGGTTCCTCCTTTGAATTGCTTAAATAACTGTTTGAGGCTGAAACTGGATTTTTTTTAAACACTTGTCACACAAAAATGAATTATAAAACTGCTAATTTGTGTAGCAGAGCTCTTTCTGTCTTTTTCACAACCTTTATTAACCGTCACATGACCCCTCAGATTTATCTTGTGACCCTTTGAAGGGACCTGACCCCAAGGTTGAGAACCACTGGGACTGATTTAAAAGCATTTTCTCAGAATATTTCTGTATCATCTGTACTTGGTAGGACTGTGAAAGCGGGACTTTTACTCATATCACAGTATCTGAGTACTTCTGATAGTTTTGTTCAGAAAGAGTCCAACACCAGCGTCTTCTACAAACCAGAGGACTGAAGTGTGACTTTACCTTTAAAAGTTCAGTTAATCTATATTTATTCTACCGTCTGGCAGAATAAACTGTACATACTTCCTCCTGGCTCCTTCTGTAATTATATTGATATCTTCTTATTTGTCTTTTATACTTTTATTTTGCACCACTGGAGTTGTCTTTTAATTTCGTTGTGATTTGTGTATGATGACAATAAAAGCATTCTATTCTATTCTATTTTATTCTATTCTATTCTATTCTATAAATGAATGACTGGAATTTTTCACTAAATCTAATTTTAAAGTCCAAACTGCAGTACATGTATCAACCACTGATCCACTGATAGCCCCCTTTTTAATGTGTTGCACAAGGCCACCACCTAGTGGTCACAAGTGTGTAGTGCATTTACATACAAGTTGCACTCAAACACAAATCTCGTGTTTTTTTGCTTTTCAACACTGAATCATGATCAATATTATTTGGATTTTTTGAGATAGCTTTTAAAAAATATGACTTTTTTCATGTCAAAGTAAAAACCGATTTTCAGAAAGTTATGTCAATTAATTGTTATTGCTAAATGTTAAATGTTGTCTTTAAATAATTTCTGTGAAACTTCAGCTG